GATCCAAGTTCGAGGCCCATGTCCGGAAGGCGGGTTTGGCCGCAGTTGCCAAAGTCTCTGCAGATGCCGAGAAGCTAGAACCCAAGGTTTACGTCGATGCGCTACTTGAGATTCACACGCAGTACCAGGGCCTCGTCAAGAGGGCCTTCAACGACGAGCCCGAGTTTACGAGGTCCCTGGACAACGCCTGCAGGGAATTCGTCAACCGCAACGATGTGTGCAAGTCTGGGTCAAACAAGTCGCCCGAGCTGCTGGCCAAGTATACCGACATCTTGCTGCGGAAGAGTGGCACTGGTATCGAGGAGGCTGAACTGGAGAATACTCTGAGCCAGATAATGACTGTGTTCAAGTATATCGAGGACAAGGATGTCTTCCAGAAGTTCTACTCCCGGATGCTGGCGCGGCGGCTGGTGCACAGCAACTCGTCTTCGGACGATGCTGAGACGAGCATGATCAGCAAGCTGAAGGAGGCCTGTGGATTCGAGTACACCAACAAGCTGCAGAGAATGTTCCAGGACATGCAGATCTCCAAGGATCTCAACGAGGGATTCAAGGAGCATGCGAGGGCCCTGGACACCAAAGTGCTCGACTCTCAGTACTCCATTCTCGGCACTGGCTTCTGGCCGCTGACCGCACCTAACACGACGTTCAACCCCCCGATCGAAATCTCAGCAGACTGCGAGCGGTTTTCGCGCTTCTACAAGAACAAGCACGAAGGCCGCAAGCTGACGTGGTTGTGGCAGCTCTGCAAGGGCGAGGTCAAGGCGACTTACTGCAAAAATACAAAGACCCCGTACACGTTCCAAGTCTCGCTTTACCAGATGGCCATTCTGCTTTTGTTCAACGAGAGAGACCACCAAACTTACGATGATATTGCGTCGACGACGCAGCTCAACAGCGAAGCTCTCGACCCTTCACTTTCCATCTTGTGCAAAGCCAAGGTTCTGCTCATGAAACCGGACGGGAAGGTCGGCCCCGGCGCGAATTTCGTGCTTAACTACGACTTCAAGAGTAAGAAGTTGCGGGTGAACCTGAACGTCGGCATGAAGTCGGAGACGAAGCAGGAGGAACAGGAGACTAACAAGACGATTGAGGAGGATCGCAAGCTCCTTCTTCAGGTGAGTCTACCCTCTACTATCTATTCTCGCAACCGAAGATGTCGTACTAACCACATCATACAGTCTGCCATTGTCCGTATCATGAAGGCTCGCAAGAGGATGAAGCACCAGCAGCTGCTGAGCGAGACGATCAACCAGATCCGACAAAGATTCGTGCCCAAAGTGAGCGACATCAAGAAATGTATCGAGATCCTGCTCGACAAAGAGTACCTCGAGCGTCTGGACGACGACGACCTCGGATACCTGGCTTAAGCGCGTTGTGGCCATTGATGCCATGTACAAATAGGGGACGGACGTCGTCCGGAGTTGTCCAGCACCAGCACCGTGACTAGCGTCTATCAGCTGGTTTGGGGAGGATGATATGCCGCAAGGGGTTGCGGCTTGGTATCTGGTGGTCGATGTGTTTGGGCGTATTGCCTTGCTCTACACATTGGTTTGTGGTCCGAGCCATCATCCGACTTGAGCTTACGGTGCACGGTATACAGAGGAGGAAGCTCTAAGTTTGGCCGACTTGCGGCCATTGGTGCAGCCAGATGTTCCTGTGTTCATATGCCACCATCTGTCTATTAGCCCGCTCGTCTACGCAGATTTCTCGCTTTACCTGCCAAGGGTTGCTTCACACTCTACCTTCTACAGGGAAAAGTCTTACGAGGCTGTACTGGACGTCTAGACAGTGACTTCTCGATCTTCGCGACGGCTTGATGGCTCCGCTTATCGGGCTCCTACATAGCAGACAGGTTAATGAGAGACGATACACTTACCATAGGACTATACATTTCAGTGTGGTTCGTCGTCACACCTCGTGCGAAGGCCATATGCCGAGACTCTTTAGCAACACATGTTTCCAATCTCTTTAGCAAAGACCAGAATATACGTACAGCTGGATAGACGGACGGCCGGACGACCACACTGATATGTGACGAGTACTCGGCGCGAATCTCTCCCACAATACTTGCTATCTATAACTTTACTCGTTGTGCCACAATTCTTTCCTATACATGGAAATCCACACGACTCACTAACCGCAACCCAGATGTCCCTCCTGACTCGACCACCCCGCACCGCACCCCCGGATTGACCCCATAACCCCCCACTACACGTCCTCCTCGACCACTTGGGCCGGGAACAACTCCGTCCTACAAACCTCCGCCCGCGAGTACCTCCAAGCGGACTTCGTTTTCCGCAGATGTCGCGTTCAGCTTCGATATCCCAAGGTAAGGTTTTCAAGCCCGGTATATAGGTAAGACGTGGGGCTTCTTCCATTCTCCTAATTCCGTCCAAGTTTATGGGCTTTTTAAACTTGCCCATACACCTTATCCAAAGCCCTGGTGATCTAGTGAACACATAATACCATCCTTACCATGTCTCCTTCGTCCTCCAACAAGCGGCCGGTCCGCATAGCAGGCTGCTCCGGCGGCTTCACCGACCGGGCGCGGGCCATCACCAGTCTAGCAGGCGACCCGGATGTCGACGCCGTGATTGGCGACTGGTTGTCCGAGATGGTTTGTTTTGCCCCAGCCCTCTCTTCGCCTTTTTCTTTGTCACTTCATCTTATCTGACTTGGTGTGTTTTTTTTTATAAAAAAAAGACAATGACCGTCCACGGGAGCGGCAAGGTCCGCAACCAGCCCACGTCGCAGAAGGCGCAGACGCTGGAGGAGAAGATGGCGACGGCCATGTACGCCGAGACGTTCCTCCAGTGCTTCGAGCCCGCCATCGAGAACCTGGCGAGGAACGGCGCCAAGCTGGCCGTCAATGCCGGCGCGAGCGACACGGAGCTCCTGGCGCAAGTCTGCGCCAAGATGATTGCCGACCGGGGGTATGGGGACAGACTCAAGGTCGCGTGGGTGGAGGGCGACGACGTCACCGACCAGGTGAACAGGCTCATCGGGGCCGGTGAGAGGTTCGAGTCCCTCATGCACGGCAAGACGCTGGAGGAGTGGGGTCTCGAGCCCGTCTGCGCGCAGGCGTACCTGGGTGGTCTGGGCATCGCGGAGGCGTTGCGCCGGGGCGCGGATGTGGTTATCTGCGGTAGAGTGGCGGATGCCGCGCCCGTGATAGGCGTTGCGGCGTGGTGGCACGGCTGGCGGGCTGACCAGTTCGACGAGCTGGCTGGTGCCCTGGTGGCGGGCCATCTGATTGAGTGCTCTGCGTATGTGACGGGTGGTTATTACTCTGGTTTCAAGGATCTGATCAAGACGGGCAAGCATGTCAATATGGGCTTTCCGATCGCGGAGGTGGACTATAGAGGGGAATGTGTTATTGCCAAGGAGAAGGACACGGGGGGTTGTGTGACGGTTGCGAGTGTGACGAGCCAGCTTGTCTACGAGATTCAGGGACCGTGAGTTTACTCCACCTACCGTGCGAGTGCCATCAAGAACTGACAGAAAGCCAGATGGTACTACAACTGCGATGTCGTAGCCGACCTGCAAGGCATCCAGATGGTTCAGTTAGGCGAAGACCGCGTGCACGTCAGCGGCGTGAAAGGTCTGCCCCCTCCACCCACGACCAAAGTAGGCATCACGGCCCCGGCCGGGTTCCAGGCCGAGTGGCACATCTACCTCTGCGGCCTCGACATGGCGGAGAAGTGCGCCGTGACCGAGGCCCAGGTCCGCTACGCCATCGGCGAGGAGAACATCCCCAAGTTCACCACCCTCAAGTTCCACCAGAACGGATCGAGTCCGATCGACGCCGAGAACCAGGATCTGGCCACAGTCGACTTCCGCATCTTTGCGCAGACAAAAGACCCCGAGCTCCTGCGGCCAGACGTCCCCAACGGGTTCAACAGATGGGTGCTGGAACTATTCCTCCAGAGCGTCCCGGGCGCGAGTCTCTCCAACGACCTGCGACAGACGGTACCGAAGCCCTACTACGAGTACTGGGTCGCCCTCCTCCCACAGTCGGAGCTACAGCACCGCGTCCACTTCCTCTTCGGAAACCACCAAATCCTCGACATGCCCGCACCCAAACAGACACGCACCTACCCCCGCCAACAACCCAGCTACGAGACGCAGTCCCCCCTCCCCCTGGACTCCTGGGGCGAGACCGTCCGCGCGCCGCTGGGCTACGTCGTCTACGGCCGGTCGGGCGACAAGGCGTCCGACTGCAACGTCGGGTTCTTCGTGCGCCGCGACGACGAGTGGGACTGGCTGCGCAGCCTGCTGACGGTCGACAAGATCAAGGAGCTGCTGGGCCCGCAGGAGTACAAGGGCAAGCCCGTCGACCGGTTCGAGATCCCCGGCGTCAGGGCGGTGCACTTCCTGCTGCACGACCATCTGGACCGGGGCTATAATGCCTGCAGCAACTATGACACGCTGGGTAAGCTGGCTGGGGAGTATCTGCGGGCTAAGACGGTGGACGTTCCGAAGAGGTTCTTGGAGAGGGGCCGGATATAGAATTCAATTTAGAGATGAAGAGGACGCAGGACCAAAAGGGGGGGAGCTTATACAGGGAGAGATTGAAGATAGATGTAACATCAACAGCTAAGGTTCGATGGTGTAGTTGGTTTATCACGTCAGTCTAACACACTGAAGGTCCCCAGTTCAAGCCTGGGTCGAATCATCGCGAGGAAACTCGACTTTTTGCAGTGCTTTTGCTTGGGCTGGTGATGTTTTTTGTGGGTGGGTATGGTGGGCCGAGAAGCGATGCCACGAGTCGTGCCTCTCCTTGTCTGAGTTATTATTCAGCAGAGACATGTTCATCTTGATGTTCCGATGAACCTGAATGCGGTCCTGGCAAAAAAATAAATCTTGACATATAGACTATATGTACTATGCGTACAGAGTAAAACGTCTCGGATACGGGGAGTCGAACCCCGGGCTGATGAGTGAGAGTCATCGATGTTACCGCTACACCATACCCGACATGCGACCGAAGTCGGCAGTGAACAGAGTGGGATTCGAACCCACGCCTCTTGCGAGACTACGAAGTCGGTGGTGGTATCCTGGAAGAGGATACCTGTTACCTGAACGTAGCGCCTTAGACCGCTCGGCCATCTGTCCTGCTCAATGTATAAGAGTTTGGCTCCGTTATTTGGGAGGTGTGGATCCTCCCTAACCCGCAGCCATGATAGTGCGGTCACAGCATGTGGAGGGGACCATGCCGAGGTTGAGATGAGCATCAGGGGCAATATCAATAAGCTTGGACATCCGGCTCGGCCAGTGCCCGCGGCCATTCATCTACTTCGTCCATGTTTGCTATCCCAAACAGTTGGGTACAACGCCGGGATCTGAGAATGGTCCCAGTCTCGCATCTCGGTCGATGTCCGTCTAAACCCCTTTCTTTCCAACAAATCTCCGTCACTTCCAGAGTAGTAAAGACCGTCTTGCGCCATCGGTACAGGAATTCGGAACGCCGCGTTGAGCAGGTCGTATGCGTCATGATAATCTTCCCAAAACAAAGGTATCGTATCATCTGCCAAACAGCGACGACGCCCAACGCCATAGCTAGGTCCCTCTTCCACCATCTTCTCTTTCTCCACGCAGCGCGCTGACGGAGTGAGTGTGGGGATCCTGTACCCCCTTTTTCAGCGAACGTGTAAGGAGGCGAATCAAACCAAACAAGCTGGGTGTCGTAGTCCTCCTTTGGAGGAAAAGATCGAAAACGGGGCAGCTTGTCGCATAACGCCTGGTCATAAGACCGCCGAAGACCCATCCATGAACGCCATTAAATATGCTTCGTGTAGCCGGGCCGGGGCGAACCCATAAAGATAATTGCAGCCTCTTCGCGGTCAACGCGTTGGCAAAGCGACTCGCACTCTTACTAGAGGATGCCCGAATCCTTAAGGGCATTGTTCAGAATCGTTTCTTTGACAGCAGCGAATACCAGCCTGATATTTGATGTATCGGTTGCTTGTGTCAGGCTGCGATTTCGTCAGCATTTGTGTCCTATTTCGTGCCTTTTATGCAGGGGTTGAGCTCACTGGGGATAGAGGTTCAAATGCGCACGGTTGACCTGATTAAACCTCCACAGCAGGTATTTCGCAGCCTTGTTTACGTCGCTCCCGCCAGAGTAGTCGGGGAAGTAGTTCCCCAGCGGTGATCTAGACAGCTTCTGCTTGAAAATGTCGACCTTGTTCAAGAAGAGAATGATACTCGTCCTCATGAACCACCTCGAGTTGACGACAGAGTCAAATAACAATAGGCTCTCCATCATCCGGTTCTACGTCCCTCGTGTTAGCGACTAGTCCCCTTCAACGACGATGGCCGAAGCCTACCTGGCTGCTCTCCTCCAGCAACACCTGGTCGTATTCACTGAGTGCGACACAGAATATGATGGAGGTGACATTTTCGAAGCAGTGAATCCACTTCTTGCGTTCGCTCCGCTGTCCGCCGACATCGAACATGCTGGATATATGTGTCAGCCTGTTCCTAAGAGCTCCGTAGTTGCACCGACTCACTGTATGCTTAGCTGTCCCATCTGGAACCGTGTCTCGTATATACCAGTTGTTTTCGTTCGCGCCCGCAGCACATCCATTTCGATAGGGAGGTAGTCTGGGCTCACGATTCTTTCGGCCTCTTGGAAGAAGCTGCGCAACATTGTTAGCGAAAATCACCTCCTTACCAATTGATAAGTGCGACGTACTACTCTGCAGAGTCCATGAGGTAGAACTCCGTCTGCCGCTCCATCAACTGATCCTTGGCGGGATCGTTCCATATTGATATCACCGCTTGGCCGACCTTGGGGTCCAGCTCGGCCTGCGGCCCCGGTTCGAGTGTGTAATTAAGCAAGAAATCAGTATAATCTTTATTGATCTCATTCACAGGCTCGATGTCGAACTGGCGCATGGCAGCGACGACTGCCTTGGCGCACTCAATCAGATTCTTGAAGACGGTCGGTCGGTAGTTGTAGAGTTCGTCTTCGCTGTAGCCCTTCAGGTGGATAATCTTCATCTGCTTGACGATGGTCGACTTGCCGCTCTCGCCGGAGCCTGCGGAAATCAGAGCGTTAGTTAGGACATCGATGCAATGTGCTTCTTGGCCATCACGAAGATGCAGCTGCAAACATACCGAGCAGTAGAATCTTGCATTCTCTCCGCAGACGTTTCGAGTCCTCCTCGAGATCCTTGTCGATCTTCTGACTCCGCTTCTTCAACTCCGCCTCCTCACTATTCGAACTCATACACGCACCCATGATCATGGGCAGCGACGGCTTGTGGGCGAGCCCTTGTGTCTGGTGTTGCGGCGGGCGGGGCGGGATCTGTACGCGATACTCGACTGCTCGGTTGTGGCCGGATCCGTCCTAAAGCCCCATGAGAGCGGATGTGTTTGCTTGGTGGTTCGGGCGATGTGGTCGCTGGTCCGGTCCGGAGAGAGCAACTTCGAGGGAATGTGATAAGCACGCAGTGCAGAAGCTGGAGACCGCTGTCGAGGATAGATGGGTAGCGGCAGGCGACTTCCGCGATTGGCAGTGGACGTTGGAGTTCGTGGAACAGCACAGCCGGAGTCGAATCGATTGCGCTGTGGTCTCTGCTCTTCCTGTCTATTTCCCGAGATCGACCGGGACGGTAGGAGAGTGAATAGAAGAACGGAGACGGGAAGAAGAATGTTTGTCAATCCTCGAGAGTGTGATTATGCGATGCTTATCTGACAAGGCGGTTCGTTTCGACACGAGTTGCCTAGCACCAGGTAGCCAAGTAGTGGTCCAAACGGTGGAGTGGTGGACAACGAGGTTGATTGAAAAAGGCAGGAGTACGGAATTGAAGAGGTTCCGAGGTGAAGCGCCGGATGATGGGATGGGATGGAAAGGCGTCGGACTTTGGATCAATGCTGGCCGGATGGGTACACCGTCCAGGACAAATGACCAAATGCGTAAGTGAGACTGCGGGGAAGCGCCCACGGAATACAGACTCCGCAGTGAGGTTTGCTGGGAGAATCTATTCGCAATTATGATACTGATACCGTATAGTATGCGCGTATGATCCGCTACACTTTAACTGCAGACAAGGCGAGGGCAAGTCGATCAATCACGCACATCCTCCAGAAGAAGCATTTCATCAAGCTTCGGTCTGGACTAAGGAATGATGGCCAAGCAGCGTTAAGCAGCTACCACCGTCATTCACTTAGCCTGTGAGCGTATTGGGCCACGGCTCAACACGTCGGCAAGTACCGCGCTAATGTTAAGAAGGAGATGCACTTGCTTCTCGGTGGCTTGAGCTAAGCGGCCGCTAAGGCCCAAAACGGCAAGTGGCAAGCCCTCTCCAAGCCTCTCCGCGCCTGACTTTATCGCCCATTTGAACGCTAAAACTAAACTCCATACCACAGCAGAAGCAATATCCCTGGATCTGAATCCCAGGGGAATGTAAATCGAGTATTATACAGCATGAGGTTGAGCTTGTTCTATTCCGGGGGTCATTGCGGGCTTCTTGCCAGGCTTTCCCGAGCCTAGACTGCCGTGGCCACCCGGTAACGATCCGCAATTGTCGAGTCTGCCGTGTTCATCTCAGAGATGGTGGAATCCTTGTTGTCGAGATGACAATCGAAGCTTGTCAAGGTCCCTTGTCACCCGAAAGCATCACGATTGCACATTGCGCCGCTGCTAGGGCAAAGACATGGAACAGAGCTACTGAAAACGATTCATTTGCGCAAATAGTGTATATTCCATATCGAAAGACAATGGGATCCAGACGATTACATGACGTTTCACGGTCTAGATCTGTGGACAATGGATCTGGTACCTTATGGAGGCACGGCTCAACCACGTGTCATTCCACATTGTGTTCTCAATGGCCGCTCACGGACCAAGGAAGGAACGTGTACCCGTCTACGGATCCGTACACGTACTGCACATCACAACCAGTTCACAACGTGGACTTGCGACATTACGGGACCGGGTTGCTCCGTCCACTTTGCAATTCCACGAACGTGGTTCAACTACTACACGTGTGCACGTTTACACGTGCAGCAGGCGTTGTCGAGGTGGAAGCTTCCCGTTTCGTCCACCCCCCTGAAACTCGATGCTTCAGGAGCTTCGGGATCGACGATTCGAAAAGCGTTCGATTAACATCCATATCCGGGGTAGACATGGTACTGGCGTGGTAGTAGAGATTTCAGAACATAACTGAAGCTCAGAGCATTGACAGAATGTACCACAGTATGCTGCATGGTAGGTAAGGTAGTATGCGATCCCAGGCAGCTGTCAGGACACTGAACCTCAGAGAAATTCAGGTCCCCTGCCTCAAGTTTCCAATCGGCAGTCATGCAGCCACCCTTGGCAACTTCCCAAACCTCTACCGACAATTAAATCGACGAACGCATGCTTGTCATCCTGGGCTGCTGCAGGACCCTTTCTTTGTCCGATTCCTTGCCTCCCCAACTGTAACCTTAGAGATAAAACCAGGGGGACCATGGCCACCAAGTAAACAGCCTTGCGACGAACACAAACAATGTCATAGTGGACCACCTCTTGGGGAGAAGCACTCAGCCCCGAGATAGTTGATCAACGCGGGATCTTAAACCGATTGCTGGGAATCCGGGTGCAGCGGCTCGACGAGTCCGAGCGCAGTGTGTTCCTCTTTCCAAACCTCCCGTCTCCCCTTCCCGTTCCCGTTCCCCAGATTGAGCCGTGAAAATCCCAGTCCCTTTGTGCGACTTGAAACCGAGCTCACGACTTTCCGAATACTACGTCACATTATGACACCGCCGCTTTCATGTGTGCATGTTTGATATCCCAGGACCTAGATTTCCACCTTTGGGATCGGTTTAATGCTGATAGGGACTTGGCACTCGCGACGAATATGGAGGGCATCAAGAAGTAGCTACCTGTGAACGAGCAGACTGTTAGATCTCTGATGGAATGGGTTGATAGAGAGTCCTTCCAATATACAGAAGTAGTATATTCAGGATGAGACTCTTTGGAATGGTGGATACCAACATCTCAACTTCGTCCTACGCCACTAGAGAATGTTGCGAATCCTGGCCGGCGATCGGTGACGACGCTAGAGCATTCACCTTCATTACTTCGTACTATATACTCATGGGTGCTGTTTATCTATACCAACTAC